AAAAATATCATTAAAAAAATGTTTCTAAAGAAATTCCTAAAAAAGATGCTAACTACTCACCACTCAGTATGCGTTGATAACCATTTTCGGAGCTCTTGTCAAACATAAAGCTGAGGGCACTCAACGAAGCACCCCATAACAAATTGAACACCTCCAAATCGTAGGCAGCATCTTGCACATATTTATAGCCGCCATCTGGGCCCACACCACGACGCAATAGCACCTTCCACAAGTAGTTCTCACGCACCAGACCCGTTTGCTCAGCGGGCATGACAATTTCTTCATTTCTGCACAACAAAAATTATTAGAGTAAATGGAAATTCAACAAAAAATGTATGAAACACGCACTTGATTGCATTGAAGACGTTCGAAAGCATCTCCTGATCAAAGTCCACACCACCATTCAAGCCACGCAGATTCTTGAGAAAGTCCTCCTGTGTCATGGGCACATTCAAACGCTTTGCATTCAAATTATGCTGATCCATATTCAACATAATAATGGCATAAGCTAAGCTAAAAGCAGCATCCGTATTGGCGAATGGCGCATTATTTTGTTTCTAAAAGTAAAATGAACAGAATGAATATAATTTTATTTAGCTAAATGTAAGCGGAACACACGCACATGCCAGTGATCGGCAAAATGTTCGAGTACGAGAAAGATAAGCGGCGCCTCGCCCGGCAAACGGAAAGTCTCCAAGTACAAACGCAACGCTTGATCCACGCGCAAGCCGGCAAAATCGAAGGAGTCGACGAAATTCATCAAAATCTTTGAATCCACATTCTTCTTCTTCGAGATGTACTCGCCAATCATCTTTTTGTCTAAACCGGGATTTTCGCGCAAGAACAGGGCCACCTCCATGGGATCCAGTTGCGCGCTTAGTATGCCGTGTTCCTGTAAATATAGTATGCCCTTATCGGGACGTTGATTGAACAACTCGGTGCCCTGTGTGAGCACACGCTTCTTCTGCTTGACATTAGCCAGGTATTCACGTGTCAAGCCGGCATTAGCTACTCCACCGGCGCCGAGGCGTAGACGTGATGAGCTATTAATGAATTTGGAGATATTCTCCACAACCGATTTGTTGTCTTCATTGTTGCTATCGATAATTATGCCCTCCAGCTCGGAATTATGACGTGAGTGGCGACCGGTAGTTGTTACTGCGCCTGTGCTGCCATCTTCGTTATTGACCAGCTTTGAGGCTATGCAATTTTTCTCAATATTCTCGATAACCGATGACAGCGTGTCCAGCGAGATGATGTGTGTGCTGTAGACAGCATTTGTAGCGGACAGTGTGTATTTGGAGAGCAAGTTAACCAGACCCTCAAACAGATCGGTGCAGTATAAATCGCAATCGTAATTTATATAGAGTTCGGAGACGAAGCCTGGTATGCGCCACAATTGTAGCAGATTGTCGAGTGCCAGCTCACGCATTTCATAAGGCGTTTTTGGGCTATCGCTCGCAATAATCTCGGATAGACGCTTGAGATAAGCTTCCAGCTGGAATTTCAAGTGGCCACGTAGCGATTCGAAGAGCAGAAAGCAGAGTTGTAAATCGGCGGCAAATATTGTGAGACGCTCGGAGTTCATTAACTGCAATGAAATAATAAAAAAAAAAATAGTAAACGCTGAATTTCTTCTATATTTAACTAATTTACAGCGAAAAGATTTCGGCACAGGTCATCCTTCACCAACTCCAGCAACGTATCGTATTTGCCGATGTTATCGGCGCCCACTTTAAATGCCACGGTAAGCAAACTCAAACCCATATGTATCATGGTGTCGGTATTTTGTTTGTCCAATGGATTGCACAGCAATATGAGGAAACGGAATAGTTCCTGTATGCAAGGCAAGCCATAAGGCAGCAGCGATGCCGTGCCCTCCGAGCCATCAAGCGAATTTTGTTGTGTAAAACGCACACCAACTGAATTTATATACTCACTGCTGCCACCACTATTCGACTGCAAGCAGTTCTCTTCACCTTCTACCAGCGTTGTTGATGTTAAGCTAGCGCCAGCATCAGCGGCCGGCTGTACAGCACCATTTAACGGTTGTGTTTGTGCAGCGCCTTCAACGACGTCTACATGCTCTTCGCAATGCTCGACATTTATAGATGGCTCTGTTGTTGTTGTTGCGCCATCAGCTTCAACAATGCCTTGTGTTGTTGTTGGCGTTTGTGTAATTTTTCCCTGCATATCGAGTATATTGCCCGCCGGTGTTGCTGGCGTTGTGGCTAAGGGTAGCGCTTTCGTGTGTGGCACCTGTAAATGTGGAGTTTGTGGATCTATCGCAGCAGTGGCTGATAGTTTACGTTCCGACTCGGGTTTTGCATTTTCACTACCACTTCTTGATAACGTATTGGCAGCTGTTGACGGCTGACCACTTTTGGATATTTTCTTGCGTTGTTTGTTTTTGTTCTGATCCATTGAGGTGGCTATCATTTGGAATTTGCGCAATACATTTGCGGTATTACGATCTTCGGAAAATTGTGGTAGGCGCATGAAGAGTAGATAAACCATATCTTTGAGCGCTTTTTTAGCATAGCGTCGCAAAAGTTCATTGAGTCGCGGTTCAAAGCAAATTTTAAAGCAACTGAGCATTACTTCGCACACTGCCTCGTTACTCAGCACCGAACCTTCGGGTGAACGCATAAGTGTGTGCAACACTTCAACGACACAAAAGAGTGTAACACCATCTGAAGACTGATCGGTTCCCATAAAGCGTGCATGCGTGACGGCATCAACGATATTCTCTACAGTTACAGCGAGATTGTTTGAGGTGGGATCTGGATGTATTAAATCAAAATATATTAGTGGCAATAATTATTTGTATAATAAAACAGGCGTACCGATTAAGCCGGATGAAAGAAATTCGTTGATCGCCTCTAGCGCCAGACTAGTGACAGCCCCCGTAGTCTCGTCGGTACGTATTACTTCCAAGAATGGCGCCAGAAATATATTGGGCTCTATTAGTCTTAAATCTTCCACATTTTTCAAGATTTCTTTAAGATTAACGAACATTTTCATCAAGCCATCCTTTTCTTCATCCTAAATATAGTTGAAACACGCAAAAAACAAACACCATTAAAATAAAACATATGTTCGTTACGTACATATATAGTATATGCAAATGTTTCCTCCTTACCACGTAAGCGGCGGAGTTCCAACGGGTGCCACGGCGCATCGCCGTCATAAGCGTGGACATCTGTTCGCGCACCACGAAGATTCCATTTCCGGGTAACGTCATTTTTTATAGAATCTTTTATGAACTGCTTACGATTTTCTTCTCAGCCAGGGAAATACCCGCAGTAGAAGTAACACACACAAGCACACTTCCTCTTTAACAATACAACTGGCGAGCCAAAGAATCGTTGTGGATAATATAATTCGTTCTATGCCTGTTGCTTTACAAAAATTGAGGCTTATTTAATCTTGAACATTGTGTATATCTACAGAAAAGTATTAATGAAAATATACAATTTTTCCACGCAGCCACGACAATTTTTACTCGATAGACAAATAAGTGATGACGTTTCGTTAAGAGTATTAAGTTGACAGCTGTTTATTGATGGATTGGTGTTCGAAATGGCAATGCTAATGTGAAGCCATGTTCTCACCACCAGCGGCATAACCAGTATTTAATTTTGGGAGAAACTTATTTGGATATAATTGGAATGTTTTGTTGATATTTATTTGTTTGGTTGTAAAAATTTAAGTAAATTATGTTTTTACAGATATAAATAAAATGTTCGCAAAAGTTTGCAACTGTTATACTTACATATGTTATGTTATATTAGCTCACAATGATTACAAGTGCACGAGTACGAAAATTGAGCCAATATTTTGCTGTTACTTTACACTCCATGCAACATAACAAAAAAAAATATAATTTTAAGAAAAAAAAATGTATTATCAACAAATTTTCGAAAATATAATATAATTTGTATTAATTCTGACGTTAGCTGCACTGACAGAGAAGTCTGGCAATATTCGGAAAAAAATGATAGATGAAAGCAGAATTTCATTTTCTACGTTGGAGTTTTCAATGAATTGTGCATATAAACGTGTGAAAAGTGAAAATATTTATAAAATATAGTTTTTTATTAATTAATTATTCCATCCCACGTCCCTACAAACATTTTCCCGTACGTGCTTTGACCAAACAGAGTCGCAGCTAAATTTTAAGGTGCGCTTTGGACACGCAATATGGGAAATTCTGACTCAAAATTAAACTTCCGCAAAGCTATCGTACAGCTCACGCAGAAAAACCAGAAAATTGATGACACTGACAATCAATTTTGGGACCAGTTTTGGTATGGACACCAAACAACGTTAGAAGACGTTTTTGCCTTGGTCACATCAGCAGAAATACGAAATATACGTAATGACAATCCGGCCAACTTGGCGACGTTGTGTTACAAGGCCGTTGAGAAGTTGGCCCTCGCAGTAGATAACAGTTGTCGCACGCATGTTGAACAGCAGTGTGTGCTTAATTGTGTGCGTTTATTAATACGAATTATACCGTATATTTTTGAAGATGAAAAATGGCGTGAGTTTTTCTGGAGTAGTCTGCCAACGCGAAATACGCCCACATCTGCCGATGCAATTGAAGTATTACGTGAAAATTCACCACGCCTTACTAGCACACAACCTGTGCCATTGGCACAATCTTTGATCAACGCTTTATGTGATTTGTTGTTTTGTCCTGATTTCACAGTGACCGCTACACGTCGTGCCGGACCGGATAAGGCGGAGGAGTTGGCTAATATTGATAGTTGTGAATACATTTGGGAAGCTGGTGTGGGTTTTGCGCATTCACCACCAAAAAATGCCAATATGGAAAAACGACGCACAGAAATTTTAAAACTTTTACTCACCTGTTTTTCGGAAACCATCTATAGTTTAACGGATGAACCTAACAGGTGGATCGCTTACTTTACCTCAGCTGATAATCGACATGCGCTACCACTCTTCACCTCACTGCTGAATACTGTGTGTGCTTACGATCCCGTCGGCTTAGGCGTACCCTATAATCATTTGCTATTTCAAGATACCACTGAACCGCTTGTGGAAGCTTGTCTGCAAATACTTATTGTAACTTTGGATCACGACATGATAATACATCAGCAGCAGCAATTAGAGTTGCGACGCCAAATGCAAGGTCTAACAACAAACACAACTACACCGCCTGCAGCCAACTCTTACGATGACGGTTTTGGTGATAATTTGTTTATTAATTATTTATCGCGCGTACATCGCGATGAGGATTTCCATTTCATACTGAAAGGCATAACGCGTTTGCTTAACAACCCACTACTACAGAATTACCTACCAAACTCAACAAAACGACTGCATTGTCATCAAGAGTTGCTTATACTGTTTTGGAAAGTATGCGACTTTAACAAGAAATTCCTCTACTTTGTTTTAAAGAGCTCTGATGTTTTGGATATACTTATACCAATATTGTACCATTTGAACTACTCACGCGCAGATCAATCCCGCGTGGGCCTCATGCATATTGGTGTTTTTATACTACTACTACTCTCAGGTAAATTCATCACCCTGTTGCTTTAATGGTGTATTAATTTGATTATAATTTTAGGTGAACGCAATTTTGGTGTACGCCTTAATAAACCCTACACCGCCACCGTACCCATGGATATACCAGTATTTACTGGTACCCACGCTGATCTTCTTATAACAGTTTTCCATAAGATTATAGCCACTGGTCATCAACGTTTGCAACCGCTATTTGACTGTCTACTCACCATACTGGTGAATGTATCGCCATATCTAAAGACATTGTCAATGGTTGCTAGCGTTAAGCTGTTGCATTTGTTAGAGGCTTTTAGCACGCCATGGTTTCTGCTGTCGGCGCCCAATAACCACCACTTAGTTTTCTTCTTATTGGAAATCTTCAATAACATAATCCAATACCAATTCGATGGTAATTCCAATTTGGTTTACACAATCATACGTAAACGACACGTATTTCATGCCATGGCAAATTTACCATCAGATATGGCTGGTATCGCGAAATGCTTAAGTGGGCGTAAGGTCGGTAAGTTCAGCATACCGCCTGTGCCACATTCAAATGCATCAGCGCATCTCGCCACATTGAGTGGTGGTCGTCAATTAGATGTCGATGTCGATGACGAGGAATGTGAATCCGAGAGTGAGTCTCACGATAAACAAAGCGAAGCACAAGGCGAAGGAAATGTATTGGCAGCATTACCCGCTGAACCGGGTACTTTAAAGACATCTTTGCTGGAAACGCCTGCCATTAATCAAATGACAGAACGCGAGGCTGCTCATCCTAGCAACGAAGACTCACAAACACCCACCGTCGATGGTACCTCAGACATTACACAGTTCGAGCAAACAGGCAATCGCACGCCAACTAGTCTAAATCGTAATGATATTGCGCGTCGCAGCAATACATCGCTCAATTCAACCGATAGCAATTCCATATCGAAAGAGCATCAAACACGCCTATCGGTGGCCACACGTGGCAGCATACGTATGGTGCCGAATGCAACGGGCGATCACTGGACACCTACACCAGAATGGATTGTATCATGGCGATCAAAGTTACCTCTGCAAACTATTATGCGTTTGCTACAGGTGCTCGTACCGCAGGTGGAGAAGATATGTATCGACAAGGGTTTAACTGATGAGTCGGAAATATTGAAATTTTTGCAACACGGTACACTGGTAGGTTTGCTACCAGTACCGCACCCAATACTGATTAGAAAATATCAGGCGAATGCTGGCACAACCGCCTGGTTTCGTACATACATTTGGGGCGTTATATATTTGCGCAATGTGGGACCGTCTATATGGTATGACACGGATGTGAAACTTTTCGAAATTCAGCGGGTATAAATTTACTATTAGCGAACGTCTACAACTATTTAAAGGTGCAATTGGCCTAACAGCTGTTATTATTGTTTTGTTTATTTTGCTTTGATATATAAAATATGCATTCCAAAAATGCTTGAGCTAGAGGGAAGCGTCTTTGGTAATTATTATTTATTAGTATTTTAACTATATTATGCCTGAAAGTTTTAAAAATGTCCTTTTATATTTTAAGAAATTATTTTAAAGCTTTATAGTGTGTATTAAGTGTCTAATTAAATAATTCCTTAAAACTAAAGTTTGTATATAAGAAAAAATGACAATTTCATATAAGTTTATAATATTATTAAGCTGATTGAATGAGGAAGAAATCTCTTCATAGAAGCTAGCGCTAGATGCGTTTTTAATTTGTTTCATATTCTTTATTTGTTTATTTACTTTTGTTTAAAACAAAGTTAAAGTATACAACAAAAAAGAAATTTAAATGTTAATTTAGAAAAATTATATTTGCAATACACATATTGAATTTATACTAAAGTTAAAACTTACATATATATACATAATGCAAAATGTAGTTCACGTATAACCTATAAACAATTTAAAATATGCAGTTCCCTACTAAATATATACGTACATACATATACACTAAAATATCTACAATGCAAATGAAAACCCAATAACTAACGAATAAATCAAGATTTTCTGCAAATTTGAAAAAAAAAACTTCAAACTTGTCTCATTATCAAAAGAAATCAGTTAAATACATGGTGGTTATAATAACTTTTAATTTTATGCTTTTAACCACTAATTTTTATATCATTCTAATATGTCAAAAACGCAATCGCAACACAATTTATCGATGTTTGTTATCGATAAAAAAATACTGTGCCATCATATGAACCGTTTTGACAGCTGTTTTCAATAGCTGTTAGTTGAAAGGAAATTAAGAAACAAAAACAAAAGTGAAAATCAAAAATCTATCGCGAATTTTCGCCTCAAAAAATATTTTCTTAAAAAATGAATCTGCTGCTACAGAGATCCACAAGAACCTTACTCTATACATTTGTTCAACAAAATGTGCAATTAGCAAGTTTTGTGCGTACTAAAAAAACAGATGCCTCAAATCCAGTCAGTAGTGGAGTTGCGCAGCAACATATCACGAATCCTTTGTCCAAAATAACACTTGTGCAACCCAATCAAAGTATGACAGTGACAACATTTAAGGAGGCACAAAAATTGGCCAAACGTCGTGAGCTGCATTTGGTCAAACAACAGGATTTCGATACAAAAACCCAACGCGCTGTTTACAAGTAATCATATATACATGCATATATACAAAAATAACTGTAATCCACCAATTGTATCAATATCTACTTATAGGCTGGTTACCGCTGCCGAAATGCTTTCCGAGGATGTGGATGAAAGCACAATAGACAAGAAGAACAGGTAATTTATACGACTATACTAATTATATACTCGTACGTATACTAAAACCAGTACTTGCATTTTCTTTATCCTACAGCACCGAGAAGAAATCTGAAAAATCTCTCACACTTGGTTCGCGCATAACCGAACATGATTTGGCGTCACGTTTGAAACATATATCCAAATGGTTGGCGAAAAATCACGAAGTTTGCGTACTCATACAAGGCAGTCCCGATGATATGGGTAAATGTGAGCGTATATTGAAAACTATTGAACAAAGCGTTAAGGAACCGGAAAATATTGGACGCATTGTACAGAAACGCATCAAGGGTTCGCATATCAAATTTAATATTTTACCCGTACCCAAGCCAACAGGAAAAACAGTGACGCAATCATGACAAGTAATGCCCGTGCTTCGGAGCAAAATATTAACCGGTGCACGGTGCTATTCCACGCAGCTACTTACGCAGCGTGCAGCGCAAATAACGCAAGACTTTACAAATACTAAAAGTCTTAGTTCTTCATTTAGTGATGAAAACAAAAAGCCAGTTATTGTGTTCGGTATTTTCACGGTTATGCTATTAGTTTCGAAATATTTCTATTGGTTCAAGTTGAAGAAAAGCAGAAAAGCGCAAAGATAGAACGGAAAGTGGGTCTTCAGTTCAGTTCTGACATAGTTATTGAAAACGCTTGCATAATTTTAATTTGAAAAGAATGTTTAATGTTATGTTTTTAACCTCAAAATTGTAAATTGCTTTAAGTTCAAGGAAAGTAAATATAAAATAAGCATATGTATGTCTATGTTATGTAATGTGTGTTACTTGAATTGTGGAGATGCCTGGGAAATTTGAGAATAAATAAATATTACAAACGGACCAACGAAAAAATATATCAAGGAACTGAATCTCAAGGATAAGTTCCATCCCAAAATTGATGACAATTAACTCGAAAATAATTTTTTAAAATGAATTTTCTTGGAAAATCCTTTCCGTATTAAAATAAAAACCAATTGCTTTTCGATTTTTGGCTGAACCACGTCTGTGACTGCCGTTAATTATTAACGAAACATAAATATTCGAAAAATACTCAATTTGAAAATTAGCTAATGTATCAAAAACAAAAATCCTTACAGCTACAACAAGTTGAAATAATGATGTCTTAAGTAATACCTAAATATCTAGATTTTTGTTTCAACGCGTTTGGTTTGTAACAGCTCTGTTTTTGCTTGCGACGCAATAAGAATTGACTTCCCGGCGGGCGACACGTCGCTTCACACGCTTCTAAGGTGGTGAATTTATTTTTATTCCTATCACACTTATCCGCGGTGAAGAGCATGCACATGTCTTCGCAATAATTGTAGAACCAGTAATTTTTCAAGGCTATTTTTTGTGGACAGTTATACACCTTGATTGATTGCAGACAATAATATGGTATTTTAGCCTGCTTATTGTCGGATTCTTCGTCATCAACCGGATTTCCGCGTGCATTAGAACGGCGGTTGCTACCACGCCATTTCGATCTGCCAAAATAATCTTCTTCCACTTGCTCCTCCTCCTCTTCCTCTTCCTCTTCATCATCATCATCATCCTCTTCATCTATTTCCTGATTTCGTCTGTTGCCACGACCACTATAGCGATTGCTGTTACCAAATCGACTTGGCGGTCGGTTGCCAGTATTTTCATCTTCATTGGGATCAACTTCTGCAACTGCACGAAATTCATTAGAAGCACCTTTACGGCGTCCTCCTACATTATAACGGTTGTTGTAACCATAACGATTGCCATAAGTATTCGGTTCCTTATTAACATCTTCATCTTCTTCAGCTGCATCTTGCGCGCCTTCTGCCTCGTCCTCTTCTTCTTGCGCTTCTTCGGCCTCCTCATTCTCGTCATTATTTTCACTTTCTTGCTCCTCTGCATTGCTGGGTCTCATGTAGCCGTAACGATTACGTCCACGTCCTGCTTGCCTGTTACTAAATCCTGGTCTTGCTGGTTTTTCTTGTGCTTCCTCCACTTCATTTTCAGCTATTTTCTCATCGTCCTGGTCATCCTCGTTCTCCGTCTCAGCTTCAGTGTCACCTTCGTTTTCCTCCCCCTCCTCCGTTTCGCCTTTTGCTTCATCGTTGCCTTCATCCAACTCCTCCACTTTCTCTACTTTTTCAAAGTCATATTCGCCATACCTGTCGCGTTCTCGCATTCGATTTAATCGTCTTTCGGCACGGCCACATTCTTCACCCATACATGTGCGATCTTGTCGTGCCTCCACCTCACACTTGAAAATTTTGGCCAAATCCGGTTGTTTATAAACGCGCGTACGAAATTGCCTACCCTCACCACATTTAGTTGTGCACTCGGTCCATGCAGTCCAAGGGTGTGTGAAACATTCACGCGGCACGTCCACATTGTTGGCTGTAAGTATTTAAAATAAAAGTTATTCGAATACTGATTTTCCAAAATCTATGCACAAACTTACATTCCTCATCCTCACACAAACGTTCATAAAGTCGTTGACGTTTAATCTCTAATATCGCTAAAGGTTTCATTTTTCCGCCATTTTCGTCGAAAAATGGCGAGCGCGGATCATTGGGCAAATCGGAGCGCATACGTTGTATAACCGCAGCCGGAATTTGTGGCTGATCTGGCGACTAGAAGTGATAACTAAGCAGTCACATAAATATATCGTGAAATGTATATATGTTCGAGTTACCGTATAAGAAGGTCCCGCATCGGTGCCAACATCCCACGGATATAATGTTACAGTTTTCTGTTCAAGCCATGTGCAATTGCTCATGCAGAGCTCTAAGCCAGAGACACCGACAATCCAATCGGGTGATGGATCTATTTTAGAAGCTAATGACAGCAGATGATGTTGCGGATCTACACGTATGGAAGCCACAGATTGTCCGTTCAAGTTAGGAAAAGCCGGACCACGCGCCTTAATAATGGTGCGTATTTTGCCTTTCTACGCAGGACATAATATTATAAATACTCATTGACAAAACACAAATTCTCTTCAAGTACCTTAAAGTTATAACTGAATTCGCGCTCCAATGTTTGCGCCGCACCATGCTCCGCAAACTCTCTCATACCTTGACTGGCCAGTTGCCCATATTCCCAGAAGCGATAGTCCTCCGTATGCGATGAGCCTATAATGTCACTGAAACGTGTTATCCAACCTTTTGTAGGGAAATCTTTTGGATGGTGATTGCGCGACCAAGTGCCTTTGAAAGTGAGCTAAACAGAATTGTACCACTTAGTTCACAGTTTGAAACCTTCTGCACATTCACCTCATACTCACCTCATAGCGTGCCTCATCGCAGGCGCAACATTTATTTTGATTCTCACTCAGCGGCGCACTTTCCACTTCGTCTGTGCTTTCTTCACAAATGGCGCGCGTTAGGCCACCATCGTCCATGTACCAAACATCACGATGTTGCAACAGTGTGGTGCGTATCAGTATACAACCGCTGCCTGGTTTATCTGGCGCCACCCACATAACATCGATGCGCGTCTTCGGATTCGTATTTGTACTCTCCACCATATTTATACAATTGGGACTGTAGCGTGTCTCCACCGTATCTATCAATTCAAAGTGTCCAAGATCTTGTGTATAACCTGGGTTGCCATCTTCACTCTCTAACGCAAGTTTGAAGCTAATAAAGCGCAGACCACTGTAGGCTTGGATCGTGACTGTGTGTTGGTGGGAAGTTAGAAAAGAGAAGAAAGTGTAAGTTTAAAATGATTTTTCGTGCTAATTGGAGTTGCTGAGGAAACACAATTCGACGGAATTGCATGACCATCACATAGCAAGTGCAGGGAAGTAAGCTTAAAAGAGACGCTGGAGCACGTCTTCTGCTTATATTCGACCTTATCTAGAACTCGGCTTAGATATCTAAACGGACGGAAAAAAGTATCAGAATTCGAGTCTCTATTAAACTTTGATGTCTTGCACGTCGTAAACTTCAGCTCGTATTATGAATAAATCTCCAGCTGGCATTATTTGATATTAATTATAGTTTCTGAGGAATTAGATTTCCACGGAGTTTCATTCACACCACATAAAAAGTGAAGGAAGTAGTATTGGGCGAGACTCTGGAGCACTGGAACACTGGAGCTTCTACTAAGTGTAAGCTAACCTAACATTCGTTCACCTCAGCGAGTTGCTTGTCTCTGCAATGCATCGAACAATTATCAATTTATCAACAGAAAGTTGATAAAGTTGCGTAGCAACCCAACAAATAGCCCTCTGCAAAGTTTGAAATAAAGTATTCAGTTCAAGGGTTACATGAACTCGGCAGATGAAGTTCCAAACAAAAGCCTTGACCAGAGTTTCCGACTCGGAATGTGATTTACCTTTACGGTAACCATCTTCCCGCTGACGTCCTTTCAAGCTTAGGTCGGATGGAATTCTTTAGCTTCAAAGGAGGTCAGCGGCAAGATCTAGAAGTAAAGATACTTCATGTCTATTTGCGGACTAGGAATTTGATTTCCCTTTACGGCAAAGCATGTAGGTACTATCCCATTTCAGCTTGAGGGAAGAACGATGAGCAGTTCTAGATATAAAGGTGCTTAATTTCTCTTGGCAGTTGGAACCCGTTTCAAGTAAAAAGCTGCATAGGAAAATAGAACTAAAAATTTGGGAATTCAGAGCAAAATCTACGAGGCATTTAAAGCGGCACTTAACAATACAAAGTTCTAGAAAACACTTTGTTTATAAACAAAAAATCCGCGTCACAAAATACATATAGTATATGTATACATTCGGATGTAAATATATAAGTTTGTTTGTAATCAAAGGAATTGATTAAGCGCCCTTGATTTTTCTGGGGTGTCAAAAGTATAGTAATTAATTTATTACCTCATCTTAAGTGTGTAAGAAAGTACGAATGTACGGAACTTTATTTATTTAGTTTGCTATACGAGGGTAGTTGGATAAGTCTGCATTTTTTTCGGACCAAATCACTTTATACCGTTTTTGTTCTGTTCATTATTAAAGTCCTTAGGAAGAACCTTCATTGCAAAGCAGGCTGAAATTTCACGTTGTTATACTGAAAGTATTCTATTCCTTTCTCCAAATCTGGTCGTCCTGTAGTTCTAAGGTTCTTATTCCAACAAATATGTTGGAACGCTTGTTAGTGGTGCCCGATATCGATCTTTTAAGAATGAGCTCGTAAGATTAAGCTCATAGCTGAGTTACACAAAATTAGTGTCATCAACTGAACTGTGATGGCTACCATCTGGAATGACTCTAACACTTTCCTTTTTGAAGTATATCGGTGAAATGCAGGTCGAATGACAGTTCCCTGGCTATTCGAACATAAATAAATTTCCATAAGCCATTTTTTTACGATTTTTGGAGAGAAAAGTTCTCGGGTAGACTTTGCTCATTGGCTACCGTGAGTATCGCATTCGATGAACGATGAGCTGTATGAGATATACGGCGACATTGACATAAGAGACAGCGGTTACGTTGGGTAGTTCAAGTCGTCCGAATGGACGAAAACACTCCAGCTGTGAAAGTATTCGACGCAGTACCCACCGCGGGAAGCAAAAGGAAGAGTAAGACCTCAATTCGGTTAGAAAGACCAGGTGGAGAAGGGCCTGGCTAAACTTAAAATGTCCAATTGAGCGCCAAACTGCTGTTGTAAACTCGGCTCTCCGTCAATAAGTAAGAAGCCAGGTCTTAAAGACAAAGCAAACTGTTGTTTTTAAGTATTCTTTCGTTAGAAGCAATTTTTCTCTGGGTAATTCAAAAAACCAATAACCTATCGCGCCACGCTCGTATTTCGTACAGCCTTCTAACAAATTATATAGTATAAAATAAGCGGTGTCTACGCTAGCCAATTCCAGTAAGCGCTTGATAAGCCAGACTTTATACTCCAACAACACTTAGCAACTGTTTTGAAATTCATAACGGTGCATATACATATTATAGAATATTGTTTTGCCGTTGGCGAGCTTTCTATTCCGCAATTTTCAAGTTCACGGTTCGTCCAATCAACTCTGATAATGTCAAAGCCGAATTTCAATACACACACACACACCCATTATTGATTTTTTTTGCTAAAAACGCACGACTTCACCGGATATTCGGCAAACACTTCTACCAACGACACTCACCGTTATAGGTTTGTCCCAAAATATAGGTTTGCGGATTGCCACTAATTGTGACTAAAAAGTTCTCATCTACCGGCGATTTGTTTGTATTTGTATTCGTCGGATAACGGCTACATATTATCGCCACCGACTGCCTGACGGCTATAAGTAACAGTACGTAAATGGCTTGGAGCCACAGCATTTTCACTAAAACTGTTGTTTATGCGATCGATTTGAAAAGTAAACTGAACGGCTCGGATGCTGCTGAGAGCGCTTCAAGTGAAGATTGTGTTTTTTGCAAAAACAAATGGTGATAAGTACACAGTGTGGGTCACTAAAATGAGGACCAAAATTATATTAGAAGAGTTGATTAGTATTCAAAAGCATCTGAAACTTTACTAGTTCTGAAGGAAGGTCGCTGGAAGTCATATTATCCACAATCAAGTCTCGGTACTAGATTATGCCGAGTCTGACTTGATGACACCATACATTTCATTACGAGGTTCTCTACATTTTGAAATAAAAAACACGGAAACGGATTTATGGGGTATGTTTATTATCATTTAAAAAGAAAAAACTTTCTTGTCATTTATTTTTTGAAGATTACCTCTTTTAAATGTTGAACGTGGCAATGTCTCAGGTGTTCCATCCGTTGGGTTCAATTTCTATGACTCGTTCGAGCATTTCGACTGGTAACTGGCGAATGACATGCGTGATGTTTTGTTCCAAGGCCTGAATCGAAGCGGTCTTGTTCGGATAGACTTTAGACATTACATATTCCCATAGAAAAAAGTCACAAAACGTGAAATTATCTGCTCATCGAAGTGTTCTCTCAATAAATCAGCGTTCGTTAGAGCAGAGGTACGCGATTAAATTGTGTGTGAAACTCGATAAATCTGAGACAGGCTTACCCAGATGTTGCTTTGGCAAGAAGTGATGTGTTTCGGTGGCGATATGCCTTTTTAGAGGGTCGGAAAGTGGTCGCTGATGAATGCCGGAAGAATGAGAAAATTCAAAGTGAAAACGACAGTCATTGCCTTTTTTGACATCAAAGGTAACCTCCACCATGAATTTATTGTCCTCAAGAGACTCAAACGAAGGGTCAATCGGGTCCGACGAGACATCGCAGCCGATTGAAAATTGCACCACGACTTACAGCTCAAATGTGGCACCCTCGGACTTTTTTTGTTTCCTTGCCTGAAAAGGCCGATGAAAGGGGAGCCAATCAGCATGCACCTCGGCTCTCAAGGCTATTCCAAATAATGCCTTCCGTGACGCCTTCAATACTTGAAAATCGCCCTGGCAGCGCTGCTTCGACGCAGAAGGAGCCTATTTTGAAAGTTTTTAAAGTATTGTAACCATTGCTTCAATAAATTTTTTTTTAATCAACTACTACTTTCCGGACAAACCCTGTACGTCTCCTCATAATTTTCAGACGTCTGCAACTCCTGGCTCCATGTGTGCTCTACAGACCTCTTCAGTATTTTTACGTAGTTTATGCCCTACCCAGCAAATTGTCTCCGTTTGATTCTTAGCTGTAAAAGTAGTTCACTGGTTTTTCTTTCAGTAGATCATAATTGTATATGATACGAGGCAGAATCTTTTAGATTAATGCCTTTATGAGATGAAAGAAGCGTAGTATTTTGAGCTCATGGATCATGCTTGCTTTTATAAGGTCAAAGAATCACGTAAAACAGAAAGAAGAGGCTACTTGAATGACCCTGCTTACACATAAGGAAACTTGTATGTCGTGAAACCATTTTAGTTTTCATAGCATCTTCATTAATGACACAATCGATTCGACTTCTCTGCCCACCATTGTACTATTTAATCGAATCTCATAGAAAATAAGAGGGGCCAGTATTGCTGATAAGCCAATAGCTTGGCGGCGTATCAATGACTGGCGCCACTAAGCGGTAGTTTAAATCGAAGAATCAGAAAATAAAAAATAGATTTTTCGCGAAAAATGCTTATCTCAAACATGAGAAGTGAGCAAATTAAAACAAAAAAAAAAAAAAATAAATAAAATAAAAATAAACAACGAACGACTTTGGACACTTGCTGTATTTATTTATTTTTGAAAATGAATAAGAAACATCTTCAAAAAAAAATACCTTGCTAAAACACAAAACAATATATTTTTAACCAGCTAAAATTTTTACTCAAACGAGTAATTCTTTATATTGCCGACGTAATAATTTTGTTTACGTTTGCGATTTTTACGTCCGCTTTTCTTCTTCGGTTTCCTTACCAACGATTCGGACTCACCAAATTGCCGACTCCAGCCATTGCCATTGCCATTATCCTCATCCCTACCCGGTTGGCTTAAATAGAGACTGTGCGGTAAGAGACAGGTACCCTCACATGCAGACAGTGTTCTGAATTTATTTTTATTTTCATCACAACCATCGGCGGTAAAAATTTGACATTCGCGTTCATCGGCGTCGTAGAACCAGTAATTACGGAAACCTAAATTACGGCGATCACAACGTGTCGTTCTTACAAAAGGTTTTTCAAAACAAAATCGTTGCAACACATCGTAATTGTTAGGATCACTGGCCCCCACAAGTATAGCTTTATGTCCATCCTCATCGTAAACTTCATGTAAATTTGAGTTGTTGTCTTCATCGTCGCCTTCGTTGTTATCGTACGAATCGTAGCCGGTTGCACCACCGCTATAACGATTTCGTTGGCGACCACGCACGAAACCACCACGATTGCCATATGGACGATCTTCAACTTCCTGCTCGGATTTATTGTCAATTTGCATATTATCATCTTCTACACCTTCAGCTACCCGATCGGAATCGTCGTTGTCACCCCAATCAGTTTGGCGTCCGTTGTAGTATGAATTTGTGCGTCTGTTAGAGAACTCCGGGCGACGACGTCCAAACAGTTCTGGCTGTGGCAGTCGATTAATATCGCCCTCACCATTTTCTTCTTCATCTTCTTCTTTGTTATCGTCAATCTCGTAATTCCGCTCTACATCTTCTACAGCTACGTTATCATTGTCATTTTCATTTTCATTGACGTCTTCATCGCGATCTTGTTGTGTTCGCCTCACACCACAGTCGCGCCCTTCACAGTCTCGCCGTTGCTCTAGCTCCACAGGATTGTCATTCTGAAAAGTCAGACATTATTTCAAAAATCTGATACTTGGCTGTGATATTTGCAAACAACTCACCAGACATTGTTCACGCTCATATGGATTGACATACTCACGACTACGTGTCATGTACCCACGCCCACACCGCCTTGAACATGCGCTCCACGCCGACCAAGGTGTCAATTCGCAACCACCGACAGCTTCACCGTCATCGGGCACTACGTCGACTGCACGGCATTGTTCGCCAACGCAGTTTTGTTCTTGTTCCATCTCGGCTTGACAACTGAAGCTTGTCGCCAAGTCGGGATCTTTATATGCGCGCGTACGGTATTGTTTACCGCGACCGCAACGTGTTGTACACTCACTCCAAGCGCTCCATGGGTGTGTTGCACATTCTAATGGCATTACTTTACCTGGTATTTGTAGAGAACAAGCAGTAAATATTGAAAACTTAGCTAGTTCAGAAACTAATTATGAGTTTTGACATACCCGAATCACATTCGCGTTCGTATAACTTCTTGCGGCGAACGTACAAAGTAGCCAGCGCTTTCATTGGTTTGCCAGTCTCCTCATAAAATGGCGAACGCTGATCATTCGGCGAGGTGGAAGTTATGCGACGCACCACGTCTGGTGGTTTTTGCGGCTGATCTGGCGACTGCAAACACCTTTTAACTGCAATTTGTGTCGACACATTGCAAATACCCACTTAAACTTACCATATAAGATGGACCAGCATCGGTGCCAATATCCCAAGGATATAAATTTAAAACTTTCTCATTAACCCAAGTGCAATTCTCCAAGCACAACTCCAAACCGGCAACGCCTAAAATCCAGTCCGGCGAAGGTTCAATTTTCGACACCAACGAGATGACATGATGTTGTCGATCGACGCGCACATTAGCTAGCGTTGTGCTGGCAGTATTTTGGCGATATATAATGCCCGGTGCCTTGATGATCGTGCGTACATCGCCGGACTGCAAAATAATTGTTCACTCATCTTACTTGTGATCTGTGATTACGAAGCGTTACCTTGATTTCCATTTCCAGCAGCCGTGTGGCGCCATGTTCCGCCATCTCTTGTAGACCACGGCTCGCGAGCTCACCATATTGCCAGAAACGGTAATCTGGCGTATGTGATGCACCAATGAGCTCACTGAAGCGTGTGCGCCAAGATTCTGCAGGGAAATTATGTGGATGTGTATTGCGACCCCATTTACGCTCCACAATCAGCTGAAAGTCAGAAAAAAGCAAGCACGTTTTGTTTAGTTCTTGTTTACAAGAGGCCAGTTTGAGCGCAATGCGCGCTCTCAACTCGCGTGTTCACTGTATCACTGTTTAAGCTCTCTCGGAATTTACTATACGCTTGTTTATACTTTTTACTCCATCATTCACCCACCTCGTATTTTGCCTCGTCACACGCGCAACACACATCCAATGCCGGCGTTTGACTGTTCACTTCGTCAATCTCTTCCGCACAAATGCGTTTCGTAAGGAAACCGTCGTCCATATACCATACACTGCGATGTTGCAGCACCGCCGCTTTGATGAGTACACAACCGCCGTTTGGCGCCACCCAACCAACGCTGACACGTACTTTTGTATTCGCATTTGTGCTTTCGATCATATTCTCGCACAGCGTACTGAAACGCGTCTCGGCCTTGTCGATGATTTCAAAGTAGCCGACCGTATCGGGCGTAGGTTGTATATTATCATCTTCACTCTCCACAACCAGCGTGAAGCTGAGAAACTTGAGCGCGACATCAACAGATAAGCTAACTGAAATTATTATAGTTTAATTAAAATTTTTTTAGAAAATACCAAATTTGTGAATGAAGCTTGCACTCACTATTATAAGTCTGTCCTGGTATGAAGGTCTTTGGATTGCCTTGTATCAACACTTGAAAGTTCTCATCGACCGCAGAGCGTTCACCGGTGGCACCTTGCGGTCTGCGATCACAGATTTGCCATGAGTCGCGTATGATTACTAATACCAACAACAAATGCAACCACGTGAACATGACGCACACGTTTTCCACGCAGTCTCGTAACAGTTCTCGAATATTTACCGCAAAACCTACGCTCAGAAGTAACCAGAAACGGAAGTGAATTCGCAAATTCGCAA